GGATGGGGATGGGGATGGGATGGGAATGGGGGATGGGATTTGGGGGCTGTGAAGGCGCCGCCGAGCATCCCTGATGCCAGCCTGCATCCCTGCAAACCACCCCCCACTGCAACCCCCCCATGGGCTCCTGCCCAGGCGGTTTTGGGGGGACCCCAAGGTGATGGGGGGGGTGCCTGGGTGGAGCATCCCCCCCAGCAATGCAGCGTGGGGGGCTCCGATTGCCTGACCCCAACATTTTGATGTTGAAGCCAGGTTTCCCCAACAAAATTCGGGTTTCAACCTTCTGGGGGGTCCCGGGATCCCCTTTTGCAGGTGGGCACAGACTGGTTTGTGTTTTACACCGCCTGCTTCCCAAGCAGCCCCTGCAAATCCTCTCCCTTAAGCCCCAGCTGCACGGTTTTGGGGCAACTTCACCCTTTTTTGGGTCAGAAGCCACCCAAGCAGCGGCCACTGCCCCTGGGGGTTGTGGGTGGGTTTGGAAATTGGGGACAGCTCCTCAACACCCCAACAGCGCTGCCAGGGGAGCCCCATGGGCAGCAAACCAAGGCTGGGTTAAAGCAGAGCCGGGTTTAAAGCAAAATTGGGTTTAATGAAAAGCTGGGTACAAACAAAGCTGGATTTGAAGTAAAACTGGGATTAAAGCAGAACTGGGATGAAAGCAAAACTGGATTTAAAGCCAGGCTGGGTTTACTGCAAATCTCAATTTACTACAAAGCTGAGTTTAAAGGTAAGCCGGGTTTCAAGCAAAAACTGGTTTAATGAAAAGCTGGGATTAAAGCAAAACCAGGATTAAAGCAAAGCTGGGTTTAAAGCAAAACTGGATGTAATACAAAGCCGGGTTAAAGCAAAACCGGGTTTACTGCAGAGCTGGGTTTAAAGCAAAACCACGTTTACTGCAAATCTCAATTTACTGCAAGGCTGGGTTTAATGAAAAACCAGGTTTAAAGCAAAACCAGGTTTAATGCAAAGCTGGGTTTAAAACTAAACCAGGTTTACTGCAAATCTCGATTTACTACAGAGCTGGGTTTAAAGCTGAACAGGGTTTACTGCAATGCTGGATTGAAAGCAAAACTTGTTTTAAAGCAGAACTATGTTTAAAGCAAAACCAGGTTTACTGCAAAGCTGGGCTTAAAGCAAAACCAGGTTTCAATATAAGACTGGGTTTAAAGCAAAACTAGGTTCACTACAATGCTGGGTTGAAAGCAAAACTGGATTTAATACAAAGCTGGATTAAATCAAGACCGGGTTTACTGCAAAGCTGGGCTTAAAGCAAAACCAGGTTTCAATATAAGACTGGGTTTAAAGCAAAATTGGGTTTACTGCAATGCTGGGTTGAAAGCAAAACCAGGTTCACTGCAAGTCTCAATTTACTGCAAAGCAGGGTTTAAAGCAAAGCTGAGTTTAATGAAAAACCAGGTTTAAAGCAAAACTGGATTTAAAGCCAAAGCATGTTCACTGTAAAGCTGGGTTTACTGCAAATCTCAATTTACTGCAAAACTGGGTTTAATGCAAAGCCAGATTTAAATCAAAGCCGGGTTTAAACAAAGCCAGGTTTAAGGGGCTGGTGGCTGACCCTGACCCGGGGGAGCCGTGGTGCTGGGGGGGAGGTTGGGGTCTGGGGTCCCACTCCCATGAGCACCCTGAGCTGCTGGGAAGGGGGGTTTTGTTCTCCCAGATCCCTGCAGCTCCGCACCCCAGTGCCCGAAAGCAAAGCCCCGGGTGGGAAGGGGCGTTGGCAGGCACCCATGGATGCGCAGGGGCATGGCGGGACAGGCCAGACCCTGGGAAACCCATCCCCATTGCTGCCGAAATTTGGGAGGTCACCGCCAAGGCTGGCGTCACCCGTCCTCGTGACATTCATCCGCACAGCTCCTGGCCCGCAGCCACGCTCCCGGGCTCAAATTTCCTCTATTTTTTAAAAATAAACGCCTATTTATTTGCTCCTGACATCCAGCAGCGCAGCAGAGCCGCTGAGTCACTCGTGCCCCAGTGCCGGAGCCGTCGGATGGGGATTTTTTTGGGGTGGGGAGTGTTTATGGGGGCTGCCCACCCACCTCAGGCTGGAGGCAGCTCCGCGCCTGCTGCATTTTTGTAGGCAAAAAACCTATAGAAAAGGCTGTGGCATCTCCCTGGGGACCCTAACGCGAGGATTTGAGGGGACTTAGGGGTGATTTGGAGCTCTGGAAGTTTGGAGGCCATCGCGGCGGCAGGGGCTGCTCCTTTCCCACCTTCGGGCCCAGCACAGCCTGGCCTGGTCCCCTCCATCAGCCCAAATAAAACCTTTGACGAGTGCGGTGTCACCATCGGCATCACCGTGGGTGTCCCCCCTGCAATTGGGCCCATCGGGGTGTGAATTTATCACATTTTCCACTTTTTTTGCCAGTTCTGAAGGAGCCCCGCGCGTCGCCGATGCCATGGAAGGAGATCAGCCCCCTCACAGCGCAGGTGAGCGTCCTCATGCTGAAAAACCCTTGGTGAGGCCTTACCCAGGGCCACTGCGCGTGTCCCAGTGCCTAAAACCCTTGGTGAGGCCTTGCCTGGTGCCACCGTGCATATCCCAGTGCCCAAAACCCCTCAGTGAGGCCTCACCCAGGTCCACTGTGTGTGCCCCAGAGCCGAAAATCCCTCATTGAGGCCTTGCCCAGTGCCACCATGTGTGTCCCGGTGCCCAAAAACCCTCAGTGAGGCTGCACCCAGGGCCACCATGTGTGTCCCTGTGCCTGAAAAGCCCTCAGTGAGATCTCACCCAGGGCCACCACGCATGTCCCAGTACCTTAAAACCCTCAACAAGACCTCAACCAGGGCCACCGCACGTGTCCCAGTGATGAAAAACCCTCAGTGAGGGTTCAACGGGGCCCATTGCATGTGTCCCAGTGCCAAAAAATCCTCATTGAGGCTTCACCCAGGGCCACCTCGTGTGTCCCAGTGCCTAAAACCCCTCAGCGCGGCCTTGGGGCTACCACGTGTGTCCCTGTGCCAAAAAACCCTCAGTGAGGCCATGGGGCTACCACGCATACCCCTGTGCTGAAAAACCTCCGGTGAGGTCTTGCCTGGTGCCACCACGTGTGTCCCAGGGTCTAAAAACCCTCAGTGAGGCCATGGGGCTACCACGCATACCCCTGTGCCGAAAACCCCTCGGTGAGGCCTTGCCTGGTGCCACCACGTGTGTCCTAGGGTCTAAAAACCCTCAGTGAGGCCATGGGGCCACCACGTGTGTCCCAGTGCTGAAAAACCCTAGTTGAAGCCTCACTCAGGGCCACCGTGCGTGTCCCTGTTCCTAAAAACCCTCGGCGAGGCCTTACCTGGTCCCACCACCTGTGTCCAGGCTGGACCCAGCCCTCACCCCCTCGTCCTGTCCCCGTTTTTGGCGCAGAGGAGGTGACGACCCCCCTCCTGAAGAAGGCCCAGACGGCCCCGCTCCACGAGGAGGCCAACACCGCGGTCATCGCAGGTAGGGGCTCTCCCCTCGGCCGAATTTGGTCCCCGCTGTGCCCCCGGCCGGGGCTCACCCCCGCTCCCTGTGCCTTCCCCCCGCAGTGGTGATCGCCGCGGTGTTCCTGACGCTGCTGACGGCGCTGGTGGTCATCGCCGTTTACCTCTACAGGAACAAGGGCTCCTACCTCACCTACGAGCAGCCGGCGGCCGAGCCCGAGGCGGAGCTGCCCATGGAGGAGGCCCCGGCCAAGGAGAAAGAGGAATATTTTATTTAAGCCTCAATTCTCCTCTATCAGCTGCTGTTTTTAATTTTTTTCCTTAATTTATGGGATTAAAAAGACCGTGTCTGCTCCCGTCGCTGCTTCCCAATGCAGCCCAACACTCGCTGTTTGCTTTTCCCTCATCAAATAATCGAGTTGTTATTTGGGGAGGGGGGGTAATTAGCATGGCTAATTTGGAGGTTGAGGTTAAATACGCATAGTAAATACACTAAGGGGTCAGGTGAAGTACGGAAAGCTCCATTTTGGCCTTGAAATAAAGCTCAAGAGACCACAGAGGGGTTGGGAAATGGGGAGGGGGTAGCGCCAGATACTCCTGTTCCCTCCACAAGTGCACTTCCCCCTTTAAATAACCCCCCAGAAAAAACAACCCAAAAAAGGAAGTTCACAAAAGAGCGAAGAGGAAATAAAGTGAAGAAACCCCAATAAAGTGAAGTGAACCCGAATAAAGAAGTAAACTCAAAGAGAGGTAAACCCAACTCAAATGAATAACACCAACTCCAGTGAAGTAAACCCCAACCCAAGTGAAGCAAACCCAATAAAGTGAAGTAAACCCCAACCCAAGTGAAGTAAACCCAATAAAGTGAAGTAAACCCAATAAAGTGAAGCAAACCCAAAGTAAACCCAAAGTGAAGTGAACCCAAGTTTAGTGAAATAAACCCAAATGAAGTGAACCTAAATAAAGTGAAGTAAACCCAAATGACGTAAACCCAAATAAAGTAACCTGAATAAAGTGAAGTAAACCCAACTACAGCAAAATAAACCCAACTAAAGCGAAGTAAACCCTAAGGCTTGCGGGAGCCACAGGGTTTTGATTTGGGGTCGAAGGCAAACCGGTCGCCGTGTTCAAATTTTCAAAATAGTCTTTATTCTACTTGTTTTTAGTATAAAAAAATCCACGAGTTAAGTGCACCACAGTGTAGACAGAGAGAGACGCGACACCGAACCTCCATAACAGTCAGTCGCATGATTAAACGCATTTACAGGACACAGATTTAGATTAAACCAAAACCTCAGGATAAAATATATTTGAATCTGATCTTTTTTTCTTCATAAAACAGCAAAAAGAAGACAAAAAAATAAGCAAAAAAAAAAAAAAAAGAGAAATTAAACCCAAAACATTGAGGATCCCTGAAATATTCTTAACCCTACCGAGCCTTCATTACACCCAAGTAATTTGGAAAGTCTGCATTCGGAAAACGACCCGAATTTGGGTGAATCTCACCCAGATGTGACCAACCCCATTGAACATCAGCCTTGAGGAGTTCTGGTGGCGAGAAACCAGGTTGAATTTGGATTAAAAGCGTCAAAATCAAGCGGTCTGGTGACGAAGCGTTGGTCGAAAAGCCCAGTTAGCGGCGGATGAAATGTTCAGACAGGAGTTGCATCGTGTTTCTGGCACCAAAGCATGGCTTTGATTAGCTCGAATGTGCAAAGAAATCCAAGATTCCCTTGGAGTGGATTAAAAAAAAAACCCCAAAATCCCGCGGTACGCGCCAGCTGCGCAACTTTTCGGAGGAAAACTAGGAGAAAAATGCCCTAAAATGTCCCCCCTCTGCTACCAGGGAGTGAAATTTGCTTTGTTTTTCCATCCCGAACCTTCACGGGGGAAATCGGGGCCTTGGCGGCTCTGGGTGCAACCGGCACAGGGCGGCAAAACCAGATCCAAAATTGGGGTATGGGGGGGAGGGGATTAATCAAAAGCTCGGCGGTGAAACGAATGGGCCACGGAGCTCACATTCATTTGGTAATTAATGCCTCCCCACCACAAAAAAAAGGAGATTTTTGGGGGTTTTTTTAAAGTGCGAGGGCGGGCGCCGGCCCTGGAAGACCCCTTGAGCGCTGCGGGTCCCGGCTGCGACCTGGGGTTAATTGGGACAAAAAGCGGTTACGTGGTGAGAAGTGGTGTGGGATGTTTCGTCCGGACACAAACGGAGCCCCCTCCCCCCAAATTCCCCCCCTC